ATGAAAAGGAAAATGAAGGTATAAATGGTTGACTGAATGAATGAAACAATGGATGAAAGGAGGGATAGATAAATGAAGATGATTGACGAAGTAGAAAAACCTGTAATGAAACTCTTGAATTTGTTTTAGAAATATAACATGAAGGGTTACACATCACCTACCTGAAGTCCCTAGCAACGAAGAACTGTAAATGCAGAAGTTGTTCTCTGCACTCTGGGACCATGGATTCAGAGTTCAAGTGATCCATCAGACAAGTAAGAATCCTGCACAACAACAAAAAAATGAATAACTAGAATAACAGCAAAAACCAACAGGGGCTCAGCAGCAATAGCAGTAACAAGAGCAACAATGACAGGAACAACAACAGCAGCAGCAACAACAACAACAACAAAAACAACAACAGGAACAACAACAGCAACAACAACAGGAACAACAGCAATAAAAGCAACAACAGAAACAACAGCAGCAACAGTTACAACAACAGAAGCAACAACAGGAACAACAACAGCAATACAAACAACAATAGCAACAACAACAACAACAACAGCAATAACAGCAACAACAACAATAACAGCAACAACAGTAACAAGAACAGAAAAGACAACAGCAGAAGGAACAATAGCAACAATAGGAACAACAACAGCAATAAAAACAACAGCAACAAGAACAATGGTAACAACAACAGCAATAACAACAATATCAGCAACAATAGCAACAGCATCAAAAACAACAGCAGCAGCAACAATAGCAACAGCATCAAAAACAACAATAACAACAGCAATAACAACTGACATCATCAATAGCAACAAAAGTAACAATGACAAATTGATAATGACAACATGGAGATTCATTACAATCCTTGATCCAGCTGTACTCACATGACATCACCATCTTTCCTTCCCTTGTCTTTACACGTCGTCTGCACTACAGGTTCGCAGGCCGTATAGAGGGTGTGGTCAATGCGATAATCCCCACCTGCACCAGTTTCTTTAAGCAATGTCGACAGAGCCTTAGTGCATTTCTTGCTGATTTTTTTAGGTTCTTCAGCTAGTTTCATCAAACAGTCAAGAGTCTTTCCTTCTCTTTCTTTGCCCTTTGAGCAGTGGTTTTGAATCTCATCTTCACATCCTGATACAACTTCAGGGTTGATTTTGAAGTCTTCCATGAGTTGTTTGCGGATGTCAAATAACTCTGATTGACACTTGCTATCGACAGGTTTCCCTGTTGAACAAATGTGCAAAATTTGTAAGTGGTCAGCGACCAATAAGAACAAAGCGCACAGGCCAGTAACCAGGGAGAGTGCACTGGGTGCACGTGCAAACCCCCAGAGAAGGTCTGCTCATCTATGTCCATTTTTTTTTATTATATGACATAAATCTTTGTTTTAGATTTTAAATCAATTCAGTGCAAAACTATAAATTGTTTTGTCGAATTTAATCACAAATCGGCTGGATTTGTTTTTCAAAACGAACTGGATTTGAACTGAATCTGTGAAGGACCTTGTATAACATGTAGGGATTTTTAAAACCTTGTTATGCACATGAAGTTGTTCAACAACTGAACAACGTTAAAGGATTGACTGTATAACAAAATGCAAACATATTCACTCACCATCACTAAGAGCATGTTCTAAGCAAAG